CTCTCTAACTTCAAATATCTGGACCCCCAAAACAAAACAACTCAACCCTAATTTTAAAAATCCCCAATTGAGATGAGATGAAATGAGATTTAACTTACCACCAGACAGAGGCGCCGACGACGAGAAGAACGGCTGTGACGTCGACGATTGAGAGGCGGAGCAGTGACTGGGGAGAGTGGAGGAAGAATTGGAGGCGCTGTCATCGATGGCTGAGACAGATTTTGAAAGGGAGGAGAAAAAATGTATCGCTAGAGAAAGAAAGCCCTAAGTGTTTAACACGGGCTGAAATCAAGTGCAGAAGTTCTATTTTAATTCTTTGCAACCTCCAATTATATAGTACCATGTGTATACTATAAATAAATTAATATAAATTTAATTATGCTTGGTTCGGTTCGGCGCAGTCCGGTTTTTTGAGTTGAAGAACCGGAACTGGAACTGGACAGCACCGGTCCGGTTCGATTTTTTGCACTGGTGTTGACTTTTTGGTCAACACGGTTTTTTTTCGGTTTTTTTCGGCCCGGTTTGGTTCGGTTGTCCGGTTCTTCGGTCCATATGCCCACCCCTAGCTAAAACCTTGAAGGCTTTACGTATTTAGGGTGTTGAGTGGGGATTTTGCATGCAAAATATTAGCCAAGTGTCTTGTTTTTATTGGCAAAGTGTTTGGCTAGATGGGTGAACAAAACACTCAAGTGTGGGCAGCTGCCCACAGTAAGCATATGCTGGGTCTGCCACTGGACGTCTAATTAATTAAGCATGACTAGTTGAGCATTTAAAACAGTATTTTAGGGACTAAATTACAAGCTCCCCTGAATCCGAATGCCCATAAAGTATGCATGTATAATCTCGTTCTTATTATGTAACAGTTGTTAGAACCATTTTTCTTTTTAAATTTGTATATTGCGTGTAAAATAATACACCATGCAAATTTTAATTTGGAATGCGTCATCCACGTAGTGAGAAAAATTGATTTTTCTGCACCAGAAAGAAAGATTAAATATTATATGGTGTAAAAACATTGATAAGTCGGGCATCTTGGGTGGGAGGGTGATGGGGTAGAGAGGCTTTATATCGAGGGAAAGATGGACAAATTATTTATTGTTCTTAGAGTCATGCATGAGTTTCAAACTAATAATTTCAATGTCATTCTTGGAAAAGAGTAAAGTCATACGATAAGTTTGACATTTAGCCATGGAATTATGGCCCCCCCATTTTGGATTCTTAAAAGAAAGTGATTAAATAATCTGTCTAAAACGGTCCCATGTTTGTTTGGTTAAAAACGGTCCCATGTTTTGCCCAACCCACCCTTCACCTGCTCTGGTTTCCCCTAGACTAGGAACATCATGAATGAGTTGAGCAGAGTTTTCCTGCCCGTTAGGGAACGGTTGGAGATGCTGTTATTGTTGGTTTAAGTGAATCTGAAATCTGAAGCTTTACTGCAAATCTCACCTATATATAGCAGATAGTAAACTCTTGTTGCTTATTTGTTTTTCTTTATTCATGGCCTTCAAGACGGTTTAATCCCATCCGTTGAAACTTTACAAGAATGAAAATTGAAAGAAACAAGATAGCATTTTGTTCTGACAAGCTCACACAATACATTAATTTTAAACTTAAAGAAACAAGCTAATATTTTGTTTTGAACAAGCTCACACATCACATAAGAAAACTTGATCATGGATATATCTTACTAATATCAAAAGTTGAACAAGCCAGCTCGTCCATTTGATGGGACGGCTTCTTATTTGCTAGGTATTGATACCGAAAAAAGCTAGGGTTTGCCCAAGCAAAGCATATGGAGTCACAGTTTCAACGTCTCCACCTTCTGTTCCGGTAAACATGTCTTCCTTGGTTACCACTTCTTTTATCAAGACGAGGAAATATCTTAAAGACAATGTTCTCCACAGTTATGTAATAGCATGTCCTCCATCTCTTACAAAACACAAGTGGTCCTATGACAATTCCAAAGCCAAAGATACATCCAATTTCAGCACTTATAAGAACAAAATCTATCTCAGGACTAGAATTAGGATGACCTTTTTCTGATGTTGGTGGTGACAATGTTGTTGTGTTATCTCCCGTCAAAGGAGGCCCCCATAACCCTTTATTACATGCGAAGGAAGCTGCTGGAAAAGTAGAAAACTGAGTGCCGGTTGGGATCATCCCAACAAGCTGGTTATTTGAGAGATTTAAGAATGAAAGGAAAGTAAGATTGGCAAGCTGTGGTGGAATTTTCCCGCTCAGGTTGTTGTTTGAGAGGTCTAAAGATTCAACTTTTAATAAGTTACCTAATGAGGATGGAATTTCATCTGTGAGAGCATTGTTGGACAAGTTAAGGATATAGAGTGTTTTGAGCTCTCCTATTTCCTTAGGTATTGATCCGTTGAAGTTGTTGCATGAGAAGTCAATTGAGGTGTAGACAGTTAGAATCTTTACTAGTTCCATCTCTAGACCTTTGTTGGTAATAGTTACAGCATCTTGATAATAAACACCGGTGAAGCTTAGGACCGGAAATTGAAGGTGGTTGAGCTCATGAGATGGATCATCTTCATCGACCATCATTGCCGGCAATGTTGTCAAGCAATCTGCTGGTATTTCTCCACTAAAATGGTTGTCAGCAAGGTCAAAAATTTGAAGCATTGACCAGGTTCCATTGGTTTTGGGACATTCAATGTGCCCATAGAATCTGTTGGATCGCAAGACAAGGACACGCAAGGTGGATATCTCCTCTAATACGTGCGGGAATGAATCTGTTATCTGATTGTATCCAAGATTTAAAACCATTAACCTTGCACACTGTGCTAGAGATTTTGGAAACTTACCTTCTATCTTGTTTCCACCGAGGTCCACAGTTTCTAAACTACAATTTGCTGGAAAATTATCAAAAATAGTGCCAATAAGGTTGTTTCTCCTTAAATTAAGTACTGCAAGATTGCTCATTGCAGATAAGCATTGAGGAATCGTGTCACTCAAAGAATTGTTGGACAAATCAAGAACCTGAAGATTCACATTGCACAGTGATTCTGGAATGATCCCGTGGAGGTTATTACTCGAGAGAGAGAAGAAGGTAGTCCAACCAAGGAAATCACCGATGTCATGCGGTATGTTAAAGGTGAAATTATTTTTTGAGTAATCTAGATACATGGCAGATCGTGGAAAAAATGGGATTTGTCCTTGAAGCTGGTTGGAATGAAGGTCAAGGACAGACAAATAAGAAGTAACATTGAGGAGAGGACCTTCTAGAGTTTCCAGAGAGTTGCAAGAAAGATTTAGTTGAAAAAGATTATTGAGCCTCCAAATCCAGTTGGGTATCTCTCCATGAATCTGGTTTTGTGAAAGGTCCAAATTGCTTAAGCGGGATTGGTTTCTTAAGAAATCTGGGAATCTTCTCAACTTGACAGATGCCAATTTCAATGTGGTAATTTGAGGAAAGGAAGCGGCAGAGGAATTGGTATCATTGTAATCAATTGACAATCTACTGTAGGAAAGATCAAGACTCGAAAGATTTTTCAGTTGTGGAAGAAGCTCAAGAGGAAAGGAGCCGCTGAAGTAGTTTGAAGAAAGTGAAAGAATCTTAAGCCCTGTGAGATTAAAGATAGACATTGGTATAGGCCCTTCCAACTTATTGCTACTCAAATCAAGGGTGTCCAATAGAGAGATACCACCAAATACAGGCAACTGACCAGAGAATTGATTGTTAGAAAGCTGTAGTTTCTGCAGCGGTGAAAGAGAAAATAGAGACGGTGGAATAGTCCCATTAAGTAGATTGAATCTCAAGTCGAGATTCACCAGATTTGTAAGGTTTTCCCAGTGAGAGGAATTAATCTGACCTGTTAGAAGATTGGATGAAAGATTTATTAGGGTCAGATTCTTGGCCATACTGAAGAATGGAATAGAACCATTGAACTTGTTCCATGAGAGGTCCACAGAAACCAATTGTGTAAGGTTTTCCATTGACCTTGGGATTGATCCAGTGAAATTGCAACTTGAAACATCTATTCTGGACAACATTTTGAGGTCGCCCATAGAGTTTGGAAAAAACCCTGTAAAATTTGCCCCACTTAGTACCAGGGAACGAAGTGATCCATTCTTCGGAAATTCTGGTAAAGAACCTTGAAGCTGTTGATTACCCGACAAGTCAATAGTCTGTAGTGTAGGTACCTGGA